TCCGGTCGACCTTCGAACCTCGGGGGCTCTCCTCCTCCTCATCCCCCGCAGCAGCAGCAGCTGCAGGGGGGAGGAGAAGAGGGGCGTCAGGTGGAAGGGAATTTCCTCGGAGCTTCCTGGCACCCGCAAGAGGCTGTGGACGGGGAGGGGGACGAGGATGAGGCGGGCGACGACGAGAAGCACGAGAAATGGGGTCAGAAGGTCAGATCAGCAGCATGAGCACGAGCAGGAGGATCCCGACAAAGACAAGGGAGCTCTCTTGAGCCCACCGTGCGTAACATCTGGGAGATGGGTTCCTTTTGTTATGCTACCAGTGTGGTGTTTCCGTGCATGTGTGCTGGATGAGCGTCGACACATGGCTCCTCGCTGCCCATTTTGTTCCGCGTGTGCGCGCGTCTCTCAGGAGTGACTTCGCGCCTGACGCAACATGATACAGCTCAGGCGCACAATGATCTGTCAGCGTGCTGCGCAGCATGTGTTTCGCCGCCACCATGACTCGCTGGCCCGAACCAACAAACTTCAGGGATCCACGAGCCCGATAAAGATATTGGGGTAGACATACTTCCCCAAACAATGAAGATGCGGGGCAAGGATGTTCCCGCGTGAGGGCCCCAAAACTGGCCAAGAGGGCTCCCAAACTGGCCAAGATGGACCCAGGAGGCCCCCGAGTAGGTCCACGACGGACCAGAATCGCCGAACGATCGGTCCAAGATGCCCAAGATGGCCCCTAGACGGGTCAAGAGGTCCTCAAGATCCCCAAGAGAGCGCCAAAAGCCCGCCCAAGACGGCCCCAAGGGGCCAACAGCTCTGATTTCCCTACGGCCTTTGAAGAATTTCAGCGCTCGCGCCTTCTCGGGGCACCGACGCTCCAAGACGGCCCAGGAGGCCCCCCAAGATCGCCCCAAGACGGCCCCAGAGGCTCCCAAAGATCGCCCCAAGAGGGCCGAAAACCTCCAAGACGGCCCCAAGAGGAAGCCGGGGAGGGGAAACGCGACCCGACATCTCGAACCCCCTCCGCCCCAAGACGACCCCAGAGACCGCGGTGGCGGAAAGGGCCGAGGACCACTGGATACTGGAGAGCCCCCTCCCTGCGTCGGGCCTGTTGCGCCCTGACGAATTCTCCAAGACGGCCCAAGAGGCCCCCAAGAGGGCCTCCAGGAAGGCCTGAAGAGGCCCATTGATTTTCCGAAGAGCCCCCACAGATCACCCTGAGACCGCCCAAGAGGCCTCCAAGATGGCTCCAGAACGGCCCCAAGAGGGCCCCGAGACGGCCCAAGAGGCTTCCAAGACGTCCTAGGTGGCCTTCAAGACGGCCCTGGAGCATCCCAAGAAGGGCTAACATCGGCCCAGAGAGGCCCTCAAGACAGCTTCCGACGGCGTTAGACGGGCCAGGAAGCCATCAAGACGGCCCAAGATGGCTCGAAGATGGCCTAAGACGGCCCAAGAGGCCCCCAAGATGCCCTGAAGAGGTTTCCAAGACGGCTCAAGAGGCCCCCAAGAGGGCCTCCAGGAAAGCCTGAAGAGGCAACAATCACTGACATTCCAAACGTTTTCAGAAATGTTGGCATTTGCTTCTTTTCAGCCCTCCGACGGTCCGAGACGGCCCAAGAGTCCCCACAACTCGCCCCAAGATCGCCCATGAGGCCCCCAAAATGGCCCCAGAACGGCCCGAGAAGCCTCCAAGACGGCCCCCAGAGGGCCCCGAGGCGGCCCAAGATACCCCAAAGATCGCCCAAGAGGCCTCCATGATGGCCCCAGAACGGCCCAAGAAGCCTCCAAGGCGGCCCCAAGAGGTCCCCGAGACGGCCCAAGATCCTCGAAAGATCGTCCCAAGATCGCCCAGGAGGCCTCCATGATGGCCCTGCAATGGTCCAAGAAGCCCCCGAGACTGCCCCAAAAGGGCCCCAAGACGGCCCCAGATGCCTCGAAGACGCTAAAGATGACCTCCAAGGCAGCCCTAAAGCACCCCAAGAAGGCCCCAAGTCGGCCCAGAGAGGCCCCCAGGAATGCCCGTCTGACGGCCGAAGAGGCCCCCGAGAAGCCCCACAAGGCCCCCAAGAGGCCAACGGAGGCCCCCAAGTTGCCTCCAGGAGGCTCCCAGGACGCTCCCAGGAGACCCCAAGAGTGCCCCAGAGGCTCCCAAGATGCCCCCTCCTCCTCCTCCCCTCCTCCACCTCCTCCTTCTCCTCCTCCTCCTCCTTCTCCTCCTCCTGATCTTCCCGCCATCCTCACCCAAGTGTTCCCCGAAGGGTTTCTACAACGGCCGGGGGAACACATGGCCCGACAGCTTGGCAGAGCTCTTGCCACAATGCTCGGCCACAGGGGCGATTTCAAAAGGCAGAGGGCGGCGGTGATTCGCCGCGGGCGTCTTCGATCCGCCGCCCCCTGTGGCTTACCACAAGGGTACACGGCGTGCTGGTTTTCCGAAGGTGCTCTGGTGCTTCTCTAAAGAACTCCAAAAGAGTCTCGGGACAACCGCTTTGCGGAGAACCGCCAGGCGCACTGAAAACATCCGGGTCATATGTCTTTGTTTGCCCAAGACGGCCATGGACAGCCTCCACGACGGCCAAGAGGCCCCCAAGACGGCCAAGATGGCCAACGATGACCCCCGATATTGTCACAAGACGTCTCCAAGATGACCAAGATAGCCCCAAGACGGCAACGATAGCCAATGATGACCTCAAGGATATCCACCAAACGGCCCCAGAGGCCCCAGACGCCCCACCAAGAGGGCTCCAAGAATACCTCTAGGATGCCAGATAAGTTGATTCCCATTCGCTTTTGTCAATGAAACGATTGTAGCGTTCTCGCATGTTCGGGCTACCGACGCTCCTAGACGGGGCCGTATGTTCCCTAGGTCGCCCCAAGGCGGCCCAAGAGGCCCCCACGAGGGCCGCAAGACGGCCCAAGATGACCCCAAGACAACCCAAGAGGCCCCCAAGACGGCCCAAAGACCTCCAAGACTGCCCTGAAGGGCCCAACGAGGGACCCACGACTGCCCATGGAGGGCCCCAGACGGCTTCTGAAGGCCAAGAGGCTCCCTCGACGCACCAAGAAGGCTCCAACAGCACCTCCAGGAGGCCGAACTCCTTGAATGGTCTTTAGGTTGTTGAGTGGTTTTAGCATTCTCGTCTTTGGGGGCTTCCGACAGTCAAGGACGGGCCATAGGCCCCTAAGATTGCCCCAAGATGACCCAAGAGGGCCCAAAGAGGCCCGCAAGACTGCCCAAGAGGGCCCCAAGACAGCCCGAGAGGCCCGCAAGACGGCCAAAGAGGACCCCAAGACAGCACAAGAGGCACCCACCCAAGACGGCTCCAGGACACCCCAGAGACGACCTCTAAGGCGGCCCTAAAGCGGGCCCAAAGACGGCCTCCGAAGTCCAAGAGGTTCCATAGAGGCTCCCAGAGGCCCCTACGAGGTCCCCAAGAGGCCCCAGGAGGACGCCTAGAGGTCCCAGGAGGCCCTCAGGAGGCCCCCAAGAACCCCCCAAAGGCCCCTGGGAAGCCCCCAGGAGGCCTCAAAATAAATTCAAGAGGTCTCCTCTCGTCCTCCTCCTCCGTCGTTTCCTCCTTCGCTTCCTCATGTCCTTTCCTCTCCCCAGTGTTCTCCCGAGGAGTTCCACAACGGCAGGGGGAACACACAGACCAACAGCTTGGCCAGAGTTCGGCCCAACTTTTGGCCGCAAGGGGGGTTTTCAGAAGGCGAGGAGCGGGGGTGATTCGCCGTAGGCGTCTGAGATACTGGAGAGCCCCCTGCCTGCGTCCGGCCTGCAGCTCCTCCTGCTCCTCCTGCTCCTCGTCCTGTTTGCACTGCGTCTTGGCCTTGCACGCGCCCGCCGCCCTGGCGTAGACAATAGCGCGTTCCGCGACTCGCACAAGAACTACTCGCGAGTGGTCTGGATCCGCCGTGGGGGATTTACGATACGTTTGTGGACGCCATGGCAATGGGCACTCCACCGACCCTATCATTGAGTTCGAGCTAGGTTTAACATGTGTGAAACATGTTCTATACATCTATCAAGCATGTTTTTTAACAGGTTGAAGACATGTTTGAAACATATGTGTTAGACATCTGGAGATTGTTTGGCAGGACGCTTCCTCTCCATATGAATCGACTTCCACAACGATGCGTGGCACCGGTGCAGACGTGTGTTTGTTCGGACGTTTGCGAGCAGGCACCCTGCGGGTGGTGGACCGCTCTCGGTGATGGCAGCCCGAAGTCGGCTGGGAGCGGCCGTCGCAATTCTGTTCCCCCTCGGTCTGGGTCGGGGGCGGCGGCTCACAAGCCGCAGAGGACCAGAAGGCCCGAAGCGATCCGTGAGAGAGAGAATGAGAGAGAGAGAGAGTGAGAGAGAGAGATTCGGAGAGAGAAACGAACAAAACAAGAAAAGAGTGAGAGCGCGAGAGAGACAGAGACAGAGACAGAGAGAGACAAACAAAGCATAGAGGAGTGAGGCACAGAGAGCAGGAGAGAGGGTGACAGAGCGAGGGATGAAACAAAAACGAGAGTGAGAGCGCCACACTTCGGACCAGGCCCGCACCTCGGGCGAGGGGGACAGCCGCCCTCTGCCCGCACCTCTTGGGCGGGAGGGGCCGCGCGTAGACTGGCAGCGGGGCCTGAAAAAAAACACCCCCCCTGCCCCGGTCGAAAAAGGGACCCCGACTGGAACAAAAAATGGACGGGCGCGGCGATGAGGGCGCGGTGCGCCCCCTCTGCGCGCAGGCCGGGAGAGAAGGGAGGGGAGGGCAGCGACAGAAAGGCGGAGGGTGAGAGGCGGAGCGAGGGATGCAGTCAAGGCTGACGGCAAGGCCACGCGATAGGGATGCAAGGCCCTTGTGCGCCCATGCCGAGGCTCTTCGAGCGGGGCTGGCCGTCGACAGCGGTTATGGATGGGCCGAAGAGGCACGGATGCGAGGGTGCCCCTTGGGAAGGTGACCCGTCCTTACCATCGATCCCGACTGTAGGGCCCTGGGCGCGCGAGCCTGGAGGCAGGCCCGACGTCATCCTGAAAGATCGCGAAGAACACGACGATGTCGGCCTGCCCTGCCTCGCCCCGTGCCCAGCACGGCCCACCTGCCCACGGCGTGCACCGGCTGACTGCGCCCTGGCGACCAGGACGGCGGCAGGCATACACCGACACCGGCTGTGGCCAAGCCGACCCTGGGCTCGGGAACGGTGTGTACGGCTTTGCCGGCACAGTTAGGAAGGCGTGTACAGCGATCTTGTTACCATGACAGGCCTGGCCAAAATCGGCGTCTGCGTATTACGTCCGGGAAGAGAGGTAGTCAGGGGCATCATCCTGGATCGGGGCTGTCCCACGGGGGGTGAAACAGCCAGATGCACAGATGCAACCACATACTGACATGTTCATGTTCTTCTTCACTCTCCGCCATCAATGATGCTTGCGCTCGATGGTCCCTTCTTGACATGGGGGGAGAGGGGCGGGATGGGGGATGGGACGTACACACATATATATATATATATATATATATATATATGCATCCGAGTCCGAAATCCTTGAATCCCAGTGGTGATGTCTCACTTTTGCTCCCGCGAGCTGACCAGCCGCCCCTCGGCCAGCTTCCGCCACGGGCGAGGCGCGACGCACGCGAAGCCGTCTCTGGAGCACCACGGGTGGGTGAGGCGAAAACTCGGCGGGAACTGAGGCTGTGGCCTTGACCGCGGCCACCCCGCGAAGCCAGCCAGGCTGGGGCTCAGAGATCGCGCCCAACGAGAGACCCAGTGCTAAGTCGGACGTGTCTCCCTACAGGGGGATTCAGGCCGAATAATAAAAAAAGACTCAGAAAAATACCTCCCTAATGCGCGAAAATAATCAAAAATCGACCCCTGACTATTTTTTTAATATTTTTGAATACTCCCCCTGTAGAGGGGCACGCCCGACTTAAACCCAGTGACACCTCATCGGTCCAGCGCGCATCTGCACGGTCGAGGAGAGCACGTCCCTTGGCATGCCAGGGTGCAGGAGCAGGGCGAGGAACGGAGGCACCCACAGCCGGCCGCACCCGGGGTGGAGGAGCGACAGGGGAGGCTGAGGGGGCAGTGAGGACGAGGCCCGCTCGAGTTCCCGCGGCCTGCGTGAGGAAGGGGGAGGAGGATGGGGAAAACGAGGCTCGAGCGGAACAGTGTTTGCCGTTTTCGTTCTGTGCTCGTTTTCCCCCGTGCTGTCTTCGTCCCGCCTTGGTTGAGAACGAAACTAGAACGAACAAGGCCCACGAAATCGCCAAAACGCCGATTGGCTCGGGACCTGGGGGATGCTCCTAGGATGAGGTCTGGCATGTCCCCCTACAAGCTCATGTTGGTCGAATCCTTCGCCAGCCCAACGGGCCAGAGGCGTGCCAAGATCTCAGGTAGCTGGTAAACAGTACACGTCGGTCTGAAGAAGTAGGTAAAAACATGAAGTAGATAAAGTGGATTGGGTCCAGGCCCCCTCAGAGAATAGCAACACACAGCAACAGCGTGCCGATTCTTGAAGTAGGAAGGCGCTTGAAGTAGATTGGGATCTGGGAATCCAGAAATACCTCCTTGCAACGACCGGCGTGTCTTTCTACTTCGCGCGCGCGGGACGGCCCCTGGGGGTCCCCGGACGAAAAGTACCCTGGGACGGTCCCGTCAGAGAGGGTCTTCCGCCCGGGCGCGGCTTTCGGGCGCCCCAGAGCGCTCCAAGAAGGGCTTCAAGACGTCCTCAAGATGTCTCCGAGTTGCTTCCCGATCGGTCCCAGACGCCCAAGATGGCCTCCACATGGCCGCAGACGCCTCCACGACGCCCACAGAGGCCTCCAATGAGCGTCTCCAGAGGGCCCTAGGAAGCAACAGTCACTCATTTCCCTTAGGTTTCTGACGGATTGTGGTGTTCTCACCTGTTCGGCTTCCCGACGCTCCAAGACGGCCCCAGAGGCTCCAAATATTGCCCCCAGACAGCCCAAGAGGCCTCCAAGAGGGCCCCAGGACGGCCCTCGAGTGCCCCAAGACGGCCCAAGAGGCATCCAAGGCGGCCCCAGGACGGTTCACAGGGAGGTCCCAGACGTGGAACCCGAACGGACATTTCGAGCCCTCGGCCCAAGAAACGCCCAGAGGCCCCAAGAAGCCCCCAAGATGCCCAAGAAGAGGCTCCCAGGGCCCCCGAACGGCCCCCAAGAGACCTCAAGAGGCTCCAAAACTGCCTCCAAGAACCTCCCGAAACGCCTGCCAAGAGACCCCAGCACCGCCGCAGTGACAACGATCCCTCGGCCAAGCGGCAGCGATGAGGCTGTATTGAGCGAAGCGATTGAATAACACATACTCGAAAAATACCCCAACATAGTCAAACATAGTCCCCCGACTATTTTTAATATTGTTTTTGAATATTCGTCCTGTAGAGGGGCGGGTCCGACTGCATTCTGGGGGTCGAGGTTTGTCCCGCGCGCCCCGCGAGGGGGCACGAGGCCTGGGAGAAACGGAGAGGCCGCCGCCGCCGCCGCCGACGACGACGACGACGCCGACGACGACGACGACGCCGACGACGACGTAGTCGAACGAAGACGGCGGGGACGACGACGTAGACGAACGAAGACGGCGGGGACGGCCAACGACGCGACGACGATGACGGACGAACGAACGCAGCAACGCGAGGGAGTGGGGGGGAAGTTAGGAAGCAACTCCTGGGAGGTCTTCGTAAGAACGCTCAGAGCCATGAGAGATCGAACCGGGTAAAAGAGGCCATCAGAGCCGAGGGTCCTGCCATATTCAGTGGAAGCAAGAAAGAGTATGCCAGGTCAGGCCGATTTTTGCCCACGCATATACCAGCGGCGATGCCGAAGTGAACCTCCAAGGAGTTGCATCCTCAGATGAGGCAGGATACGTAAGAGGAGGGGAGGGAGGGGGGAGGAGGCTCCCTCCCTCTCAGGAGGTCTCGGGGGGCCCCCCGAGGTGCCCAGGGTCCTTGGAGGCCTCGGGACATCCTCTGACTCGGGGGACTTCCCGAGGCCTCCAAGGACGCCTCGGGGCTTTTCGTGGGCCCCTGGAAGCCTCGGGGGCCCCGAGGCCTCCGGGGGCCCACAAGAAGTCCCGACGCGCCAGAACAAGATCGGTCCTCCATGCAGGCAGGTCGGATCGAGGAGGAGGAGGAGGAGGAGGAGGAGGAGGAGGAGGAGGAGGAGCGAGGAGGAGGAGCGAGGAGAGCGAGGAGGAGGAGGAGGAGGAGGAGGAGGAGGAGGAGGAGGAGGGGAGGGAGGAGGAGGAGGAGGAGGAGCGAGGAGGAGGAGGATGGAGGAGGAGGAGGAGAAGAGGAGGAGGAGGAGGAGAGGAGGAGGAGGAGGAGGAGGAGGAGCAGGAGGGAGGAGGAGGGAGGAGGAGGGAGGAGGAGGAGGGAGGAGGGAGGAGGAGGGAGGAGGAGGAGGAGGAGGAGGAGGAGGAGGAGGAGGAGGAGGAGAGAGGAGGAGGAGGAAGTAGGAGGAGGAGGAGGAGGGGAGGAGGAGGAGGAGGGGAGAAGGAGGAGCACTGGCGGGGGCTTGTAATCCGAGTAGCGTCTGCAGCGAAGCGGACGCCCTGCGGGGGGAGGGGGGGGGCGCCCCTCTCCCCCCCCCCCCCGAACGCCGAGCGGACCCGCAGGTGCAGGGCCCGCAAGTGGCTGCAGACGAAGCGCCGTCCCTGCTGGAAGGTCAGCTTGAGCTGGAGACGCCTGCAATTCGAAGGCAACTACTGGGAGGTTTTCGTCGGAAAGTTTCAATAGGATTAAGCCTCATTGGGGGGCTGTCACGCCCGAGTGGGCCACGGAACAAGCGGGACTAAGCCGGATTAGGCGGGATCAAGCGGGATTGAAACAGATCCACCCGGATTTCGGACCAGGGGTAGATCAGAATTTGACCTCCCAGGAGTTGCATCCGAACTGTAATGCTTGAGCATCCCTCAAGCGATCCCTCTCCCCAAGGGCGTGGCCTGGGCCCCACTGGCCAATCGACCCCCCTAGTTAGATGGGGATATCGGCCGCTCTCTTCGAGCTTCTGAGGGCACATCCCGAACTGAGGTGGTGGGATGGCGGTGGTGGGGATGGGGATGGGGATGGGGATCGGTGAAACAATACTGCATGATGAAAAAAAGGACAGTCAAATCCGCAGTGGGCTTGGCCATGGTGGGGGGAGCCGGGGGAACAGAGAGGCAGGTGGCACGGAGGTCACCCACGGCTGCCAGACGGGCAGGTGAGCCGTCCAGCGCAAGAGGACAACTGGTCTTTCGGTCGCAGCAGATCCTCGTTCAAGCCGCCCCCTCTTTTCATGGTCGTCGTGGAAGATGATTCAGATCTGTCGTTCATTGGCTTTCTTGCGCACAAGCTCGCCAGCTCAGTGCCGGCAGCTCAGTGCCGGCACAGCTGCTAGAGGCCAAGGCCTCGTCCTCCAAGCGGCGCTCCCGCTTCCAGACGCGTGGGAAGCTGGGGCCTCTGTAGACCGAACTCCTTGTTAGGCCCGGCGGCGTGGCACTTCGGGAGCCGCACGTGCATGCACCAGGGTACGCAGGACTTGGCCCTAGACATACTGCGCATCATTTGTTGGACGTCTCACGCTCGCGACGCCACCCCGAAGAATGTCCACTATACTTTGCGCGGTGGTGCTCGCGAACGTGAGTTCATCGTTATGCTCCTGCCCCCCGATGTTTGCAACGGGGCAAAATCAATCTCATCATCGAATCGGGGAATCGGGTCGAAGCGCAACGTGCGTCGGATCGGTCTGTGACGGCACGGGTCTGAAACCGTATCGGATCGGCAGCGCCAGGATGCTCAACAAGGCCACGCAAACATCGGGTCACATTGGATCGTCGGCACACCAGAACCAAATCGGACCCAGCGAGCCAGAATCGAGATCGAACCGGATCGGTCGGATCACAATAACCGCGTGCCGCGGATAATGGAGGTGCCCGCCCCCCTTCACCCCCTCTATCTGATTATCCACAGGGTGCATGTAGGTTCAGGTTGCCATCAGAGGCGCGGGGCGAACTTCGGGCGAACATTACTTTCACCATAGAGCGCGCATCGCCGCTGTGATCTTGATATCCTGC